TGCTCATCTCCATTTAAAAGCCGAAGAGCCAGCGCTGTCCGAAGACGTCTCCGTGGCCGGCATGACTAAACACCAAAGGTGCACAGAATACTGTTCCCTTCCCACCAAAGGTGGTTCCTATTTTTCTACTTGCATTTTTATGTGCTGGCAGAAGCTGGGGCAAGTAACGGGAGCTCATTCCGTTACGCGGCGCTAGGGATTCGAACCGCCAAACTGCCGACCTTTCTGATCGACAAGCTCAGTGTATTAGCCACTGAGCCATCGTGTCCCAAATTTTATGATATTGGGGGAATTACTACTTCATAATCTTTTCTGGTTGCTTATGATCAACAAAAGAAACCAGTTCATTTTTTCCCCCCCAACAGAAAACCATTAGGTATTCTTGGCACATCTCAGGAAAATCAAAAAGTAAGCACACACAGACACACACACACACACATACACACATGAGTCCCACGGGGCAATAAAGTCACATCTTTGTCTCATTGGGTTCACTAACTTCATGGGACACAAAGGCAGGGTTATCAAATCCCATCTTTGCCTTGGCTTTGGCGTCCTTCTCGTTGTAGAGGCAGAACGCACAATGTGGAGTTTCCACTTCCACGGTTTTGCTGAAGTTGTGAAAATCCACCCTGTACTTCCCTTCTTTGGTCTTCGAAACGATGGGGGCGAAGCGATAACCCCACAGGACCTCTTCGGCAATGTACGACGTCCGTACTTGGCAAGTCGCGCTGGTGGATTCTACGGTCCCGTCTAGAAACACCACCAGTTCGAAGTCATGTTGAAGGAGGGTGTCAGCTGACATGTGAAAGAAGGGACTGTGCTTGTCGATGACGTGGTAAATCGTCAAGGGGCAGATGAAGAAAAGGTTCTCGTTGCCTGCGTCAACCATGAAATGGATGTTGACTTGATCCAAGATGATCGTCTCTCCTTCAGGGGTGATGGTAGTTTTCAGGAGTTTGCCGTAGATGTGACTTCCAATCAACAGACTTTTCCTGAGATTGGCCACCCGGATGAGAAGACAGAGTTTTCCACCTCGTTTACTAATCACAGCATTTTTGCTAAAGGTGATCGTTTTCGCTCTCTTTTTGGGTCTGGAGATTTTGGCCAGAATGGCCCCACACATGAAGGAGTTGATGATCACTCCTAGGATAGATTGAAAGATGAGAAGAAAAATTGCCGTGGCACATTGTTCCGTAACACACCTGAACCCATAGCCAATAGTGACCTGGGTCTCCAGGGAGAAGAGGAAAGCTGAAGTCAAGCCATTGATGTTATCTACACAAGGTGTGTGGTTTATAGAAGGGCTGAACTCTGGCAGATCTTGATGGATGTAGGCCACTACATACCAAAGAAGGCCAAAGAAGAACCAGCTTCCCAAGAAAGCTGAAATAAAGATGGTCATCTTATACCGCCACCTCAGATCCAGGATGGTGGTCCAGATGTCAATCAGGCAAACAAATCTGGACTCTTCTTCAACATTCCCAAATTCTATGTTACACCTTCCATCTTTTGACACCAGACGTGACCTCCGTCTCTTGCATTCGGCCCAGTTCAGTGTGAAATGTTTCTGGAAGTACTTAAACATTCCCAGCAGTCACTCTGGATTAAAGGGAGAAATGGAAGAATTATGACAATGTCTTGTAAGCGTTTTTTCTTTTCTTTTCTCAATGAACTTATCCGTGTGGGAAAAGATTCCAGTTGACTCTTAAATGGGGAATTATGGAATAGCCCGAGGACGCATTCCAAAGTGGTATTTAACTCGGGTAGGTACTGTAACACTAATGGCTTCAATTCTACCCCCTGACTGTCCTTCAAAACAGCTAGCCATGTATTTTCCCCACTTTCATGGCTGGCACCAATAAAAGTTACAAGAAGCTCTCGCAGTAGCACAGTTACCACTAGGGAGTTGATAAGTACTTCGTTTGTGATTGCTCAGTGTAGATTTGGCGGGGGTGACTTGTGTGCGAATGCATGAATTAACTCTGCATAAAAATGCTCGCGGCATGAGAAATGACAGGGAAATTTAACCCTGGGTGCATTATGACCTATTTCGGGATGTAAAATGTCACGGGAAGATGGGGAAATGGGCCAAGAGAGGAACGGACATGTATAAATCAGGGTTCAGTGACGTTGACATCATGCCGGAGCTTTCTGAAAATGTTCTCCTTTGTGACTCAACCCCAGTGCTAAGCCCAAATGCTGTCGTGGCTCAACTGCGGTGACATATGGGGAAGGTTTGGAATCTCTCCCAACTGGAAAAACAATCATGGACTTTGAAAGTACAAAAACGTGACATTGTCACCATGGCATGAAAGCAGAACTGAAGGTCTCTTATCCAAGTTGAAGACATACATATGTTACTCTTTAAGATACCCACAAGACTTCCTTGGCTCCTTTGGAGAGGAACATTCATCCAGCAAGTCCTCTGAATAGAGTAGAATGACAGAGTTGGAAGGGACCTTGAAGGTTTTCTAGTCCAACCCCCNCAGTGCCGTTTAGAACCGGTTCCAGCTCCCTCCCCCCGCCCCTCCGCACATCATCAAGATGAAGAGTGAGAGGAGGAATTCTGGTAGTTGAAGTCCACAAGTCTTAAAGCTGTCAAGTTTGAACACCCCTGGGTTTTTTTTCTAAAGGGTTAGGGGTTCAAGGGTCTTCTAACTTGACAGCTTTAAGACTTGCGTGCTTCAAATGCCAGAGTTTCTGAGCCTACATTTTGGTTGCTAAGCAGGAGCGTTGTTAAGTGAGTTTCACCACATTTTACAAGTAGGCCATGCCCACCCAGTCACATGACTGCCAAGCCACTCCCACCCGGTCACATGGCTGGCAAGCCACTCCCACCCAGTTACATGGCCAGCAAGCCACTCCCACAAAGCAGGCCACACCTACAGAAGAGGTTCTAAACAAATTTGAAACCCACCACTGGTGCGCACATGTGCGCTTGTGGCACTTGGCGACCAAAAGGTTAGCTTTAAAGTAGCCACTCTACTGTTAGAAACAAACACCATCCCTTAGATCTCAATTGAGAGGACAGGTCTGGGTAGCAGATTCCCACGTTTCTAGTACAGAATCTTTGAGGTTCGTTCTCTACCATCTCTACTCTGCTTGAGGAATAACAGCACAGGTGCTGATATAGAAAATGGGAGTAACACTATATTCAAGCTAGAAATGCATTGATGGCTTGCCTGTCTCTGTGCTGTACATTTCTCCAACATCTCATCCTCTGTTCTTTTCCCAATTTAGATCCGTATCAGATCTTAGGGCCCACCAGTAGCCGCTTAGCCAACCCAGGTAAGTCCACCTGAATCAAACCTAGCCCAAGCGATAAGTCATCTGCCTCACTCTCAGTATATACGAAGTCAATAAATGTACAGTAATTCTTGCAATAGATATGAAACGATCACGTTATCATTTATTTAAACAAAGAAGGCGGTCATAAGCTACAGCAACATCATGAGTGAAACAGAAACTGAAAAGCAAGCACAGTTGAAATTCTTTTTTTAAAGTTTATTTCTTTTATGGAGCTCTGGAGCCAACACTGAGAAGGCTATGTGTCTAACATCAGGCAGACGTAACATTTTGACTGATCTGTGAATGTCAAGAAGAGAAATTTATAATTGANTTTCACTTCTCATCCAAGAAGCTTCTTGGATAAAGAAGTGAAATGAGAGGCTTCTTGGATGAGAAGTGAAATGTCTTCCAAGAAAAAAGGAGAACGTCTAGTTGCCTCCTGAAAAATATCTTTGGGACAACCATGTCCTGGATGACTGAGAATCTCTACAGACTTATCAATGATTGTGTTCTCATACTATTGTCCACACTAATTTAATCTTCTACACCAGGGGGTCTCCAACCTTGGCAACTTTAAGACTTGTGGATTCAACTCCCAGAGTTCCTCAGCCAGCTTTGCTCAGGGGCTTTGCTGGCTGAGGAACTCTGGGAGTTGAAGTTGGCAAGTCTTCAAGTTCCCAAGGTTGGAGAGCCCTGTTCTACACCAGTATTTCTCAACCACAGCAATTTTGTGGACTTCAACTCCCAGAATTCCTCAGCAAGCATGGAATTCTGGGAGTTGAAGTCCACACATCTTAAGGCTGCCATGGCTGAGAAACAGGGGTCTACACTGGTCTTGATTGGTCAAAATCAAATGGCAATAGAGATCCTCTGGAGATCTTTCCTTTGGCAGTTCAGTTTTTTTTTTTCCTGGATCTTTTGTGACTTCTCTCAAGAATAGAAAAGTTCACTAAAGTTTCATAAAGAGAGCCCTGTAATCTCATCTTGTCATGTTGGGAAAAAAACTGGAGTCTTTTGTTGTAGTATTTATGTCGCCCTTTTCTCAACATCAGGGGTCAGGACCGTCTTAAATGACCTTGAGAATTATAGACTAAGAGCTGCGGTGGTTAGAGTGCAGTACTGCAGGCTACTTCTGCTGACTGCCAGCTGCCTGCAATTTGGCAGTTCAAATTTTGCCAAGCTCAAGGCTGACTCAGCCTTCCATTCTTCCAAGGTGGGTAAAATGAGGACCCAGATTGTTGGGGACAAGAGGCTGACTCTGTCTAGAGAGGGCTGAGAAGCACTGTAAAGCAGGATGTAAGTCTAAGTGATATTGCTATTGCTTTGCTAACAGTATGACATGATGCTTTGATGGTTTACTCTCCAACATGGAGCTGTGGTGGCNAAAAAAAATATCTTTATTTTTAGGTTGAATATCTCCTGAACTGGTGGCTAAACACTCACAATCTACTATCATTTGTGCAAGAAATTCTCATAATTGAACCTCTAAATTTATGCCATAAATCATTATAATTCATCCAGGAAACAATCCCAATTTGTCATAATTGCCAAAATGACTGCAGTTACGATGTGTCCAGGAAATCATAATTCATCACAAACGACCTAAATTGTAATTTATTATCATTTATCCCCAAAATGAACATACTTTGCCTGGGAAATTATTACAGTTTAGTGAGGAAAATCACTATCATTTATACAGGTTAGGGTTGAGGTTAGTTAGATAAGGAAGGGATTGTGTGTCCAGGGGTAACGACGACTTGAGAGTGAAATTACAGTTTGGGCCTGAAGAGGGCAGTCTCTGCCAGGGAAACACTCTGGTTGAGCCTTGCAAGAGGCGACGTTTTAATTTTGTGAATATTCTTTGCAATATATCCGAGATACTTTTCTAGCTCGGTGGTGATAGCAGTTAAATATTGAAGCTAGCAATAACCATTGATAAATGGCACAGAACAACCATTTCTGAGATATTACCCACGGGTGTGGGGGGGGGGGGGGGTTCAGGCGAAACCTGGGCAATTTCACAATCCCGTTTGAATGCATTAGGAAAGAGACATTGCTGTGGACGGAGAGAAATGGTTTAAATCAGGAGTCTCCAACCTTGGCAGCTTTAAGCCTTGGTGGACTTCAACTCCCAGAATTCCCCTGCCAGCTGTCTGGGGAATTCTGGGAGTTGAAGCCCACCAAGGCTTAAAGCTGCCAAGTTTGGAGACCCCTGGTTTAAATTGTGTGTCTCGTTTGATTCTTCACTTTAGTGTGACAGACTGGTTTCTTTTGGAAATCCTGTTTGGTTTGTAGATTCACTTGAACTGCCCTTAAATTGTTAGCTGTGTATTTGCATACCCAGAATATTTTCCACAAGGTGTGAAAAAAAATGGAGGAAAATGCCCCCTCCCCCCACTCTCTGGTTGCTATCCATATTAAGCCTGCAATTCAGTCTTGCAAGGTGGTATAAAACAAGTATGAAATATTAATCACTAATCTCTCCTTTGATGTGGGTTTATTAAATTGCTAGATACCCATTACTCTTGCTGTCTTGGTCTGGGAGTGGAGAAATAATTATTAGTTTTATTTGCATATTACTGCAAAACCTGCGTGTGAGTGTGTGTGTGTGTGTGTGTATGAGGGGGGAGGGAGGATGGGAGGGAGAAGGAGAGAGATGATAGACAGACAGATGGACAGACAGACAGACAGATGATAGACAGACAGGTAATAGACATAGATAATAGATATAGATAGGTGATAGATAGATAAATAGATAGATAGATGGATGGATGGATGGATGGATG